CCCATGCCGTATGCTAGCTGACGAATTGCAGCCGTGCATTTTTGAATGGGAGAGAAACCTTTTTTCCGCCTTGCATCTATTTTCCATTGGAAATATGGAAAACGACCTTCCAAATCACCAACAATACGTAAGAATAGTTCCTTCCTCATCCGGAACCGACGTCGAAACTTTACAGCGTAGATGGCGTCATCTGCAAAATAATCTTCTATAAGACGATCGTGTCCGGCTTCGTGATTTCTATGCAACGGCGGCTTTCTTAGCTTAGGTCGTGCACATGATGTTTCGCCTAGTCGGTTTTGATAGTATGCAACCGTTTTCGCCATGACGGAACCGATAAATTTAGCCTCCGCTACAGCCGTTGAATCGGATGATGAAGATGATGCCATTTTGAATAATATTTTTTGGAGAGAAATATAGGTTATGAGTTAAAAAAAATGGTAGAATGTTATAGTATTTATAGGTTAAGAAAAAGGAAAGAAAAAGAATATATATATATATATATATATATATATATATATATATATATATATATATATATATATATATATATGTAACGGCTATATATCCGTTTGGAATAAAAAAAGAAAAAAAAACCAGCCAATAGTTTCAAGAGAGAGAGAGAGAGCGGGACTCTCTCCCCCCACCCTCTTCCCGCGTTCCCTTTCCCACACCCACGGTGCGGTGTTTCTTCGTGCGGGAAACGATCACGCGGTTTCCCCGCTCTCCACTCCGTCCGGCATTATAGATAATGAGCCCATAGAAACTAATTAAAGTTCCCTAATTTTATGTGCATATATTTGGCGGTTTTGGTGCGACATATTGATATCACTTCAGTTATTATAACTATTATATAATTTATGAAAATCCCGTTTATAAAATTAATTAAAATTTTAGAATAAAAATTTAAAATTATTTATTAATTATTTTAAATAAATTATTAGTTATGATCTATTATTTTATTTATATAAAGTTATAATTATCGATTCAAATAATTAAGTGAAATTATATAATCTTATAATATGTATTAATTTTACTTTATTTTTGCTTTTAATGTTATTAATTTAATATAATTAAAATGAAAAATTTAAAATTTTAAATGAAAAATTAATAGGTTAACAAGTAACATGACATTAATTAAAATTAAAATGTTTAATATAATAAATATGATAAAAAAAACTATTTTTTTTTTATAGCAAAGGAGATTTCTATTAATAGTATCAATTTATAAGATAGAAACAACATGATCTTGTGTACATGCCCAACTCTTGTTACATAAGCTCTTACATCACTAAACCGACAACCCAAGCACAATTCGGAATCGTAAAGATATAGACGGGACTTCTTGCACGTAATCTTCTACTTACTCTCCAATTAAAAGAAAAAGAAAAACTGTTTCCAATATTGCTCAAATGACCTACTTACAAATAATTAGCATTTTCGTTTTTTACCAGCTCATTCTTAAGAGTTCAAAAACAAGTTGTAATTCATAAAATGTCACAATCCAAATGAATCACGATGGTCAAATCTGGCATGTTTTGTATTTCTTAGGTTTCGAGAAGAGGCCAAATCCCAAGAAAAAGTTAATTAAGCACATGAAAACACCCAAAACCTGTCAGAATTCATTGCAGAAAAGGACACTTAAAAGTTTTATAAACGGGTATTGTAGATCACCCTTCTAAATTCTTATATAACATTATCACTACTAGAAATAATACCATAATATATAGCCACAAAGAACATCATACTCCATACATTAAAAATGGCTTCCAATATTCATTTTCTTATGATACCACTAATGTGCCCAGGTCACCTCATTCCAATGGTGGACATGGCAAAACTCATAGCACAACACTCTGCCACAGTCACCATCGTCATCACACCCCGTAATGCCACCAGGTTCGGGTCAGTCCTCCACCGTGCTGTGGCGTCCGGCCACCCTATCCGGATCCTCGAACTTCAATTCCCAGCTTCAGAATATGGATTACCAGAAGGATGCGAAAGTGTAGACGATCTCCCCACATTCAATCTCTCCAAAAACTTCTTCGATGCAAGTGCGAAACTTCAAGAACCATTAGAAGAAGTGTTTAACGAGCTTAAACCAAGACCAAGTTGTATTATCTCTGATAAACATTTAGCTTGGACAGCCGATGTTGCAAGAAAGTTTCAGATTCCATGGGTTATTTTCGACGGAATGAGTTGTTTCACTCAGTTAGCTACTCATAATCTATGTGTTTCAAAGGTTCATGAACAGGTGGGCGATTTTGACCCGATTTTGTTGCCCGGTTTACCAGATAAGATAACCATGACTAAATCCCAGCTTCCGGGGTTGTTCAATCCGGGAAAGAGTGCAAAGGCGAAGGAACTGAAGAGTGTACGTGAGAAGATAAGAGCAGCTGAAATAGGAGCGTATGGGACAGTTATAAACACTTTTGAAGAACTGGAAACAAGATACATAGATGAATATCGAAAAGTGAAGCAAAGAGTTTGGTGTATAGGTCCGTTTTCACAATCTAACAAGAATGATTTGGACAAAGCTCAACGTGGAACCAATGGTTCAATGGCTAACCACGAGTGCATCACATGGCTCGATGGTCAGAAACCAGGGAGTGTGGTTTACGTGTGTTTAGGTAGCCTAACGCGACTCACACCACCACAGTTTATCGAACTGGCTCTAGGGTTAGAAGAGTCAAAGTCCCCGTTTATTTTAGTGGTGAAAGGAGGGAGTCGAACGGAAGAGATAGAGAAATGGTTGAAGGAAGATGGGTTTGAAGAGAGAGTGAAAGGAAGAGGTGTTTTGATCCATGGGTGGGCCCCTCAAGTTCTCATACTATCGCATCCTTCATTAGGAGCATTCTTGACTCATTGTGGTTGGAATTCGACTATAGAAGGGATTTGTGCGGGTGTACCGATGATCACGTGGCCTCAATTTGCTGAACAGTTCTTTAACGAGAGGGTGGCTGTGGACGTAGTGGGGACTGGTGTCGGTGTTGGCGCTGAATCAGTGATGCATTTAGGAGAGGAAGATTCAGATGTGGTACAAGTGAAAAGGGAGGACGTGTGTAAGGCTGTGAGGACAGTAATGGATGAAGGTATTGAAGGACAAGAGAGAAGAGAAAAGGCTAAATATTTCAGGGGGGTGGCTGAAAAGGCGTTAGAAGATGGAGGATCATCTCAGCTAAATTTAAAATTGTTCATTGAAGATATTATTCTACACATGAATAAGGGATTGGCAGGTTAAGTTGCAGGAATTGGTAGCTAGTGATTTACCAACATTTATTTGATGATTCTGATTTTGAAAGGTTATGTTTTGGTTGCAAAATTTGTAGTTTGTTCAAGATACTACAATGAATAAATAATTAGTAACGTACAATGTTTCATACAAATTATTGGGTCTTGTTTTTCATATTAATTTTCTTTCAAGACAATTAGAAATCATAATCCTGTCACATAAATCCAAATCTTCTTACCTAAGCTCTTACATCATTAGGAGTCATAATCAAAGGCCACATGCCACGTGACCAAGGATCAAGATATGTGGTGGTTTTGCTTTTTAATTTAATTAAATTAATGGGCCAAGTCTTAGAGCAGTAGGTAAAGTTAGATTCTTTATAACAAATGGCCACAGTTTTCTCAGCTAGCTGAAATGCAACATATCTAAACACCATTTACCAAGATATATTAAATTGTCACCTATTTATATATTGTGAATTAACATTCATATTAACCTTAAGAACTAAAAATATATTTGATACTAGTCAATCAATACACATATTCTAGCTACTACCAAATGAAAAGGCTTATTTTAGTAAATTATTCTTCATTTTATCAATTCAAATTTAACGTGGCGAAAATCAAAGATCAATGTTATAACAATAGAAAAAGCTCCAATAAATCGAACTGAACTTGATCTTCTTAGCTTGAATTCCTAGTACTGGATTGGTTCCTGATATCTTCAATTAGTCTTCTCATATTCTGGTGAGAAGATCCTCCCTCTTCTATTGCTTTATGTGCCATCTTACTAAGTTCTTTAGCTCTCTTTCTTCTCTCTTCTCCTTCTTTCCCTTCTTCCATCACCATCTCTATAGCCTTCCTCAATTCCTCACTCTTTATTTGCACTCCAGACTTCTCTTCTTCACCCCAATGCACCACGTTTTGAGCACCAACACTAACTCCAATCCTCAACACTTGTACAACTAACTTCTCATTATAGAACTGCTCCTGAAACTGAGGCCATGTCACCATGGGCACACCAGCACACACCCCTTCTAGAGTTGAATTCCACCCACAGTGAGTCAAGAACCCTCCAATTGCAGGGTGAGATAGAACCAACAGCTGTGGAGCCCACCCACGGATCAATAGACCTCGATCTTTGGTTCTCTCTTCAAACCCATCTTCTTCTATCCATTTTTCTATCTTTGGAGTCTTGTGGCCTGCTCGAACGACCCAAATAAACGGTCTGTTAGAAGATTCTAGAGCTAAAGCAAGCTCGACTAGCTGGTCAGGCTCCATACGACTAATACTTCCGAGACATGCATAGATCACCGAACCATTATCTTTAGAATCTAGCCACTTCAGGCATTCGTTCTTGTTAATGGAGGGCTTGTTACCTCTCAGGGCCTTCTCTGATACATCCTTATAGCATAGCGACGAGGGTCCTACACACCAAGCTTTATCTTCTTTGATTTTCTGATATTCATCAGCATATCCTTGTTCCAACTCCTGAAAACTGTTTATGATTACTCCATATGCCTCGGATTCAGATACCCGAACATTTTCATGGAATTCTTTCACTTCTTTGGAGCCGGAGGAATTGAATGCAAAAGATAGTTGGGATCTTGTTAGTTCAATTCGATCAGGCAAACCGGGTAAAACAAACGACTCGGACTCACCCGCACTTTCATGTACCTTGGTGAGGTACAAAACGTGGTTACACATCTGTGTGAAGCAATTCATTCCATCGAATATAATCCTTGGAATCTGAAACTTTTTTGCTGTTTCAACTGGCCATTGGAGAAATGTCCCGGATAGTATGCAACTTGGCTTAGGCTCAGAGTTTTCAATGTATTGCTCCACTTGTTGTTGTAGTGAACTTTGGGCAAGGAAAAGTTCCTTGGCTAAGCCCAAATTTGGAAGATCATCCAAGCTTTCACAGCCCTCTGGTAACCCAAACTCTGTAGATGGAAGTGGGAATTCCATAAAACAGATGGGAAGACCTGATTGGACTGCTTGATCAAGGATTGACCCAAATCTGAGGGCATTGACTGGGGTGGTGACTATGGTGACTTTAACACCATGTTGAGCTAGTAACTTGGCCATGTCAATGGTGGGAATATAGTGGCCTGGTGACATTAAGGGTATGATAAGAAAGTGAAGAAGTTGGTTGTCTTGTAGTTGTTCTAAAGCCATTTGAGAGGCTTGCTGGTATGATGGAGAAACTGAATCAAGGTTTGATAAGGGAATGGTGTATGGATTGTAAATATAAATGCATAATCTTTCTCTTTCCCCTCCCCCTTTTTCAATGCTATTAATCTTATGCCCCTAATTTTATTTTATTAGATTAATATGCGATGATGCAAGCATACACATAAGCATCTCTACTTCTTTGGAGAAGGTGTAGATAACTACAACTTTGTCAAGACAGGAAAGCATATTTCTTGTATCTCACGGCAATTACCAATAGAGTCTATATCAGTAGTTTATAATCCAATGACAAATCAAATATACTTCTACCTTTTGTTCTTATTAATCTTCCTACTCACTAGATCATGAATCTTCCTACTCACTAGATCATGAGTTCATGACAAGTGTCAAAATCAAGAAAAAAAATAAAAAAGAGAATTAGTGAATTCTTCATGTCATTGTTTTACAAAAGTAGAAAGAAAAGTAGGAACAAAGAGGAAATTTAATTTTCCTAATCCAATATATAATCTTAAGTATAGCTCAACCTATCAATACTCTTTAGGTTGGATAATTTACAAATAAACTTTTTTCCAGGGGTATTTAGGAAAGTTTCCATTTATTTATGTTTTTGTATTGGAGAAGGATTTCAATCAGTTTAGTATAAATAGGGTATTGTTTCTTATGTTTTTCATTTGTTTTTTCAGATTTGGTTCAATAAGATACTTGGAAATGAAGTAATTTTCTCATAATTCTTTTCATTTCCTGTTCGTTTTTAGAGAAAAGAAAATGGAAGAAAAATTCATTGTATTCATTCTGTTGACTTTCTTACAGAGTAAACAATTATATTACAGCTTATACTACACACTTCTAGCTATCATACACCTAACAAACTAACAACTATTAGTAATTTAACTGTTTAACCAAACTACTAAATTAACTGTGATTAAGTATAATAACATAAATATAACAGTAATATCCCCCCCCCCCCCCCCCCCCCCCCTCAAGATGGACTTTGGAAGATGTTTTTCAAAGCTATCTTGGTCATTATTGGTAGCATCTTATGTCGAGGTAATGGCTTGGTAAAACTGTCGGCCAATTGGTGTGTTGTGCACATATGCATGAGGTTGATTGTATTTTCCAAAATCTTGTCTCCAATAAAGTGAAAATTAAGTTTGATGTGTTTCAAACGTTCATGAAAGGTTGGGTTGGATGCGAGCTTGATTGCCGATTCATTATCACAAAAAACCGAGTCGGTTCATGAATATGAATATCAAAATTCCTTAACAAATGATAAAGCCAAATAATCTCACTTGTAGCAACAACAATGGCACGATATTCAACTTCGGTGGAAGATCTTGAAACAATGGACTATTTCTTTGATTTCCAAGAAATCATTGATTCTCCTAGAAATACACAAAAAATAACATATTGCCCTCTCTGAATCATCAGAAAAAGATGTGATCTTTAAAGAAGCTTTGGAGGACAAAAACAATCCTTGACCAGGGTTTAGCTTGGGAAAGTTTAGAAGATGATTGTTAGCTTGAAAACGAGGTAACCGTGGGGCTCTAACAAACTGACTTAACTTATTTATTGCATATGTAATGTCTGGTCATGTTATAGTTAAGTACATTAATCGTCCAACTAATCGTTGTACGGAGAAGGATCCGATAAAGGTGCCCCATTGAAATTCAATGTTTTGAAAACAGGATCCATTGGGTGATTGACTGGTCTTTGGAACTAACACACAATAGTGTGCCCAAATCTCTCAAACCAAGGCTCTAATACCAACTTGAAACATCCCAAAAATACCGAATGAAATTTTCATTTTAATTAAGTCAAAACCATTCATTCATTACTCGTAAAGACGCCCAGAGTAAAACTATTCAAAAAACATCAGAGTAAAACCATAAACAATCGTTGTGGAATAATATACAGGGGATGTAGTAAAATCAAGTTGGGACCTTCCTATTGAAACCAGAAGGACCTGAAAACATTTTAAATATAAACCGTAAACATAAATCTTAGTGAGTTCCGCAAAATACCACATACAACACACATATATAAATATAACAGCATGTAGATGTGTCGGGTCCGTATCAACCCTCGGGTCTGTATCAACCCCCAGTCCATAATGACTCCATGTAATAGCATGTAGCTGTGTCGTCTCCGTATCAACCCCGAGTCAATAATGAATCTGAGCCCAGATTGGCTCTATGCATATAACATACAATCAAACTAGTGATAGTCACATAGATAATAGAGCACATACAGACATATCAGGAAGTGTCAGAAAGACAATTATCATCCTGCAACCATAATCCAGTGGGTCGTCATTGGTTCCTTCGAACCACAAGTACAGTGAAGAGACTAACCTTAACTACTTAACAAAAGCCCAACAGGTACCTCAACAAAAGATCAGCCAACCCAAACTTCCTAAAACCAAACCTAGACCAATCCTTAGACAAATGCTCACTTCTACCCAAGTTTGACTAAAAGTCAAACTGGTAAAAAATTCAATGGTCAAATTCCACAAGGTCAACAGTCAGCTTATCTAAAGTCAACGTCACGTCGAGACCATCCCTTGGCCATATCTTCAAAATGCAATGACAAAACAATCACGATTTTGGGCATCGTAAAGTTGTGACACATCCTATATCACGTCGTGACTTCTGCCCACAAGGCCAAAATCTTCATTAAGTTGTAACGCTTTGTTCCAAATTGACTTCTAGTCTGAGGTTGTGGGCCGAATGTTGGTCATCATAAGGATCATGGCTCTAGAGAAGGTAAGATCTAGGCCTATTTGGGTGCGGGTGATGTATTAGAAGTGATTCGGGTGTTCGGTTTGTGTTTTGGAGCTTAGGGGTATTTCGGTAAAGTGTCAGTTCGGGCTTTTGTGTAAAATGGATTTTTGTTAGGAAGGTCTAAAGGAATATATGATTTTATAGATGTGTAGAGCTTCTCGTCACCTTTCTGTGGATATAAGGATCGTTGAAATCAGGCTTGTAACGAAGAAGTTATGGCCTTCGGAAGTTTCGTGGTTTTTAGGCTAAGACGAGTACATGGGGCGTACACAAAGTGTACGCGGGGCGTATTAGTAAAGAAGGTAGTACGCTGGGCGTACCTTGGAGTACATTGGGCGTACTGACCAGGATGGTCGCGAAGGTTCCCAGGAGTACGCTGAGCGTACCATATGTACGCTGGGCGTACTCCAGTCAGATCAGAACCCTATTTTAGGGTCTTGGACCCTATT